TGGATTATCTCATTAAAGGACGATATTTCTCTGCTACAGGTACGAGCTAGCATTTTGCTTTGCAACATGCACAGAGTTTTTTTAAGATATTTTTGCGTTCTTATTTCAGGAATCAGTGATTTATTCAATTATGATAACCCATCACTTGATCAGAAGTTGCCTTACAAGATTAAAAATCAACCAAACCCCAAAGAACTCTGTCATGAAATAACTAGAGGCATGGAACTGTTGTTTACTTTCCTGCCGTGTACAGGGAAGAACGCTGACCTGATTTGGAGGTAAGCTAGAAAAAATATACCATGCATGTATATACTTGAGTATTCAATTTTTCAAGAGTTTGGACAAAGTTGTTTCGCTTTGTATTGGACTTTTTCATTTAAAGATGGTTCAAAACGAATACTCTCGTACATAGGTATACTATAATGGTTGAGACTTCAGGCCACGAACTGGAAACAACACATGGCTACTTTAAGTTGGATGAGAAAGGCCCAACCAAACTGGACTTAAGGTCGTATGTGAAATATCAAGTAAAGTGGCTGTATTTCACTGCTATCAAAGCCAAGAACCCACAACACAGGGCGTGGCTACATGCTATCAGAGGACCAGCGTTTGGACCACCTGTTTTTCATGGTGAGATTAAATAAAGAATGCGTTTGCAAAGAATCAAATTATAAATGATTTCTGAAGCAATAAACAAGTCGGGAAATGAGCAAAATAAACGAAATTGACCATTTCCAACAACTGAAGGGTGCGTGAAAAAAGCCAAAAAGGATTGAAATAATCATGTTGGGACTTAATTAAATGTCAAAGCATGCACTCTGTTTTGACCCATGATGGTATAAATGTTTGGCATAAACCATGCAGTGCTAGTTCCTTTTCTATTGATTCTGTCGACGCGAGCGTCAACCGAGAAGTTAAAAACAATAGAAATGGACTAGCACTAGGCTCTCTTTTGCTTTGAACTGGTTTCAAAAATTGACGGTCGAGTTATCGTTACAGTTTACATAAGTTTATTGCAGAGTCGTCGTTGGGATTGTATATTCATATATCTACGTTCATATATGATTGCGAAAACATTCGCTTTGAAAAAACAATAAGGGATGAAAGGAATAATTAAATATTCACCTCCCAATTAAGTTTTCAGCGAAGGCCCTGCCTATACAATCCTCTCAATACAACAATTAAGTGAAGAAACTACTCTGTGAGGGACCTCAGTGTGTAAGGGACCTATTTTCTCAATCGCAACTCGAATCGCAACTTACACTGGCAGCTAAAATTAAAATCAATACGCGACTCATCGTGCTTTATTACGTCATGTAGATCGCCAAAGATTGGTGTGGTATGAAATATTTGAGATCTTTTCAAAACTGTATGTATACCTCCAATTGATTTTTCTTTCAGCCACCCTTCCTCCACTAAAGCACCGTGTTGAAGAAACAGAACGGAAACATAATACAGTTATCCCCAAAAATGTCATCACCCCAACACCTGTCGATCCAAAAGGCCACTTGGATTTCGGTCTTGGAACGACCGGTAATGAGAATGACATTTGTGTCTACTTCATGCAAGTTTATCCCCTTCAACAAGACTTCACAAGCGATAATCCAGACATTCAAGAATCCTCCGATCTCATCGCGCCAAGAATATTGCAAAATGTCCATGGTTATTTCAATTTGAGGATTGACCATCCAACACGGCTGAATCTGTGCGCTTCTTGGGACCAAGACGCAATGGTAATTTATCGCATTAATTTTAATTAAGATTTTCTATCAGTTTTCGGTTTGAGGTGTAATATGGACAAAATCTAAGGACTCCGCCTTTGGGGCCCGAAATACGAACGCGTTGTGTAGTCTAACTATCAATGTTGAGATTGATAAAGAAACATCAAACGAAAGACATGATAGATGACAAAAATAGGGCCCCAGGCCGCATGTTCGAAATATACTCAAGGACCAGATATACCTCGTTACGCTGATATATAGTGAGTATAGCTAATAGCTAGCTGGATTGCGTAACAGTGTTAATTTAACGCACAATTTTGCCAGTGCATGCATAGCAATCCTTTATAGACAGCACCATAACCATGAATACTACTCATGTTATTTAATGCAACTTATTTGTGAGTATGATGACTGGTAAGATTATCAACGAAAATGCCAACAAAAATATATGACAAGGGAAAGAAATCAGCTAATTCAATGCAAATTATGCAGCGCCCCTGATAGCACTTATATCATTGACTGATATATTTATATTCTATATTCAGAAACCAGGTGAAGACATGGTGCACTTTTACATGGTTGATGCTGAAGATGGTCAGCCGAAGCAAATGCCCCCAAACATGGTCAAACCATTTCGAGATTGGGAACAAAATGTCGGCTCAACAACAACCGTGCAGCAGTAAATGCACTGAAATATTGAATAACACTGTGTTCTCTGCCTAGAATACGCTGTTTCTGCATGTAGGGTTATATAATAATAGATTGCCTGCTTTAAAACTTGCGCATATTTCCAAGTTTTTTTAGTGAAAAAATATAGATTGATGTCTCAAAAATGTGTTCATATTTCTTGCGTTTATTTGTTGAATAAAAGAAAAAAGCTACTTATATCCTTTTCGCACGATAGACAGAAAATTTCTGCAAAACACACTGGAAATGAAGATCCTGCATGCGAGCGAAACGGTCTTGTGTGTATGTGATGATCAAAATTGAAACCCGTGCAGGTGAATCTTCAAATGCTTGTGTAAATTGTCTTTCTATATAGTATACGCATTCTGAAAATTTCATTGGTCGAGAGATTTGATCAATCATCGCTTGTTTATTTTGTCAGCCAATCACATTTTATTGCCAATAGTATTTATATTTATAACACCTTATCGATATAATGTCTTTTAATTGGTTGTTTTTGACCACGTGGCATAAAATCCAAATTTCCGTGCAATAGTTTTTTCCATTGCATGGTTGCTTGACTAGCTTCAATCACTCACAGTAAATTAATCGTACCGTGCTCGCAGGGCATTGGGTCACGAATCCGAATAATATGGCCGATGGGATCATTTATAAACACAAATTGTTCATCCAATAACATTACTTCTATATTTTGGTGTTTTTTGATGTTATATAAAACAAATAATGAGTGTTTTCATTGCGCAATGGAAAGAATATTTTCATTTAGTGAAAGATGGAACATTCAATCTTTCACCTCATGAAAATGTTCTTACCATTGCACTCGTAAAATTGAAACGGACTTTGTCACATTAGCAAATCTTTACACTTGTATCAAAACCTAGGTATAAACATCGATTCGTGAGATTTTTGAATCTATACAAGCTGATGTGATAGAACATTCAATCTTTCATTATACAATTACCTAATGGTTTCCGTGTTTGGATGGCCTGATCCAAACACACGGGAATGTTGCGAGAGTTAAGAAAACTCTTCTTTTGCTTAACTTGAGCAACATTCCCAAGTGTTTGGATCAGATCATCCAAACACGGAAACCATTAAGTAATTGTTTTATAAAATAACAAACCATAATAAATTTGTTTTTAAATTCCCGCGAAATTTCCGTGTTTGGATGGCCTGATCCAAAGCGATGATACAGAGAGTATATAGGGCGGTGACCCGTGTTCATTGTACTACAGTTACCGTTTCATTCATTTACTATTCTATAGAAAAGAGGTGTAGACATGGTCAATTTCTTTACGATTGATGCTGAAAATGGCCAGCCAAAGCCGATGCCTCCAGAGATGTTCAAACCGTTTGAAACCTGAATAAGATGTCTGAGCGCTTGTTTGAACTTTTCTTATAACTTTATTTCACCTTATACTTGTATTGTAGGATTAAGGATTGCTTGCTTTAATGCTTTTAAATGTTAACAAATATTTAAAAACTCTGTTTTGCAATGAATAAATGTAATTTGTCTAAAAAACCTTTTCTGTGGGAACTGTTTTGATGTGCCAGCCTGGTATAATTTTGTCTTACTCGCAATAGTGTGTATAGCATATGAATGGAATCATTGGATATAAAAAGTTTAGAATATTACAAACATCCGCCCAATTGACCCTGTTACGTGAACCGCAGTGCCGGCGTTAATGCTATGCATAATGATATATATTTTCTTTTCTAAACGCTATATTATTATTGTGAGCTACGATACTATATTTAGATTAATTAAGTGTGTGACGTTCGCAGTAGGAAAAAAATTCAAGAGGAAGTCACAGACACAGAAATCTTTTTCCAAACTGTAGACTGTAGTACGAACAAGTACGTGTGTGTGGGTTGGTCGCACGTCTATAGTTTAGAAAACGATTTCTGTGACTTCCGCTAGAATTTTTTTCTTACTGCGACTAAATATATATACAATAATATATTGATAGCGACATAGCATTTATATAGAAAAGAAAACAAGACTGAGTATATTTAAAACAATTAAAACAATTATCGACGGTCAGAGACTCAGCTCAGGATCTCTCAATCGGCTGAAATCGAGTGATCACTAAACTATGCATGACTAGCGATAAATAATCCGCAATCCACACCTATACCACCGACTGTTATAAGATCCTGTTTACACTATACCCGATTCGCATTTTCACGAAATCAAAATTAGTCAAGTCAAAGCGAGTTTTATCCCTAAATGATTGATACCATGATTGCTTTAACATGTTCTGCCAGATGAAAAAGTTCTATCTGAGGACAGAGATACGGTAAAACAACTTAAACTGATGTCGTGACCATATGAATCCGTGTAAGACTTCCTTTGACAATCATGAATTCGTGATCGTGATCATGATCATGCGAATCCGGTATAAACAGTATAGTGTAAACTGGGCTTAAATTAAAACTGCTGGAATAAGAATAACTCGATTTAATTTTTTTCGAAAGGTAGAAACATTCGGTCATGCAGCTAGACAGGGCTAGACGGCTTAATTGGGCGGGCGGGGGGTGGTAGAGGTGTATATTCATATAATTATTCATCAGTGTTTACATATATCATATAACAGTAGCTACAAAATAATTCAGTCGGTAGATAAACTGGAGTTACTGGACGAACTGCGTTACTTTCGTTGAATTGCCACGACAAAGAACAAAACTCATAACCCGGCAGCTATATGTCTCAAAATTTAATCAACAATTACTGAAATTTTGGTCATATCGGAATTTATAGAGGTTAGTAATATAGGACAAAAAATTCTTACATCTCAGCTGTAAGGACCTTGTCATTGACATTGTCATCTCTCATTGATTCTCATTGCAAGAGGCGCAGGTTATAGAATGAAAATAGGTCGGGAAATAGCTAGCATGCATAAACTTGCTAAATACCACCTCATTTTGACCAACGTATACGGCCATCTCATTTGGGTTTGATTTTGAAATACACGTTTTGCTATTTTCTTCGCCCAGTCAATTAAACTCGCGACATACGGCGTAAATTATTTTGTCGTTTACTGGTCAGATTGGTACGATTTATACATATTTATAATAATATACATAGAGACCTCAATACCATATAGAACAAGACGCCTGTTCTGGCGTTAACTCCGACGTGCCGCGCACGTGCCAGTCTCAATAGAAAGCTTCGGAACATAAACAATACAGTTCATAGTACTCATTTAGATGCCTTGCGAACCTAAAATCGACATTCTGAAGCACATCGTACTTTAAAAAGTATAGAAGTTCAATTGTTTAAAAATGTAAATAAACCGCATGATACGTTCACTTTGTCTTACACTTTAGGATTCGTGCTTATATTAAATCTGCAATCCTGTGCAAATTAACTGCGACGTGTCAACGCGCCCGTAAACGACCACATCTTGTTACACGGCGAAATAGCAGCGATATTATTAAGATAGGACCAGAAACTACATGTATTAAATATATTTTTACCCCCAATTAAATCTAAACTTAATCAAACAGCATCAAAAGAACGGTTTATTTGTTCCTCTTGGAGGAATTGCCGTATCATGCGAGCGAAATCGAGTCACGCATCGGAAAATTAGACGGAGATTTTGAGCTGTGCACCACAACTCTTGGGAGGCAAAACTGTGACGTAGAAAAATATGGTCACATACACTATTCAAATACTAGTATATTTCGCGCCAAAACACACTTGCGACAAAAAAAAATTAAAACAAAAAACAAAACCGATGTGAATTTTCCAACTCCGTCGCTGACGCCTAATTATATAGATATAGAACCTTTACTGGAATTATGGGTATCATGCATGCGGTAGTAATTATAGAGATATAGAACCTTCACTGGAATTATGGATGCATGCGGTAATTCACTTGATCGCCCTCCCAGTGGCGTCGCTAGCATCATCGATAAGTGGGTTGGACATATTCATATATTCATGTTCACTGACCGTAAAAACAATCAATTTGAAAAGAATTGAATAAGGTAAAACACGAATATATGAATATGTCCACTCCACTTATCAAGCTGGCTACGCCACTCCGCTCTCCCCTCTGCACTCAAAAGATCGCTCTCCCCCTGCACTCAAAAGATCGGTGGATGCATATTTCATGTTTAAAACGTTTGACTGTCTATCGACGCTACGAATTTCTTAATATTATAGACTTTATAAAAAAAGATGGAGAGTGCAGGCTATGCATCAAAGAATACATTAAGCAACTTCAAGACACCGGTAGAAAAAGCATATGGAACAGAAGTATCCCTTTTTTTACATTGTCACTTGCGTGGGTATGATCGTCATGGAGAGGGAATTGTCCCAGATCAAGGTATCAATATTATAACCGTATTTCTGAAGGCCATATTTGAAATTATGCCCCCCGACCCGAATTTTTATTCCTCCTGATTTTTATTGACTGCCCCAAGGAATACGACGAAATTTTAAGGAATTAAGAATTTAGATTCTCAGGAAGTTTTTAAGAAAACGCGGGCATAAAGCCTGGCTCTTATATGTCGTTGACAGTGGGCGGCGTATTGTATGTGGCCTGTGAGGAAGAAAATTTATTTAAAATAAGCACTTCATTCACCAGTGGTCACCGACAATAGCCATCGCCGACCGTCGGTGGCATATGAGAATCAGGCTTAAATGTAAACAATCTATAGTAACTCCAATCATAGCTAATCATCATACACACATATTCTGGTTTTTAGGATACTACGATAAATACGGCGCTCCAACGAGCAAGGATAACTCGTGGGAAGAAGGTTACCATGTGCTTGAGAAAAAACTAGCAAAATTAAACGATAGTGTGATGGCTATTGAAGAGCTGGACTTCCCCGTCTTCGCAGGTGGTGGCGGAGGTGTACACCTTTATAAACCACTGCACGATCACGAGCCATGGAATTGGACTGGCTGGGTACCCCTGCAGAAAAGATGGCTTTGCCAGGGAACGTTCTTTAGTAACAGGTTCGTCAGGTTATGTCAGTAAAATTAACGAGGTCAACTGATCTCTTCACCGACAGCAATATCTTGGTAGAGAAAAAGGAGGAGTGAATAAATAATCGAGGTCAAACGTTTTCGAATTCGAGCGTTTTCAAGAATTTTTGTAGTCACGCTTTTATGCTACATGTGTGCATTTTTAAAACGTTGATCTCTAAGACTGTGTGTTCTTCCTGAAGGTATTTCCTGGCTCTTCGTGGCAATGAAATACAGAACAATTTGTGGGATTATCACCCATATGATGACGTAGAAGTAGAAGATGAAGGTGTTGACGAAATGGTGTACAGTCAGGTGCAACCAAATGACAGATACAAAGGAGGTTATTGGTTTCATGGTCAACCTTTTGGTCGCTATCTGCATATTATTGCATTAAAGTCACATCAAAAGAATCCTAAGGTATTTACGGTCTATTACAGTGATAGGCTTAGTTAATTTCATTTTTCCGCTTTGTACAGAAGAAATCGTACCTGCTGTACAAGGGCGGATAAAAACTATAGCTCTATATATATGTTGATCATCGTAATTTGACTCAATACTGCCATATGTAAAGCAAGAGATATAAACTATTTTACACAATGATTGAAATGGTCTTTTTAAAAACTCAAAGCTTTAAGGCACTTTTTAGAGTGAATTGAACAATATGCAGCTATACGGTAGAGAAAAGACATAATATGCTAAAAGACATAATAGGATCTGGAATATGCCTAAAATATATTGGATCTTTAGAAAATGGAGTAAAGAAAGCATGGAGTGGAGTAAATAAAACGAGTATTTCAGACTAACAAGTGACACAGAACAGCTACGAATTTATTTTACTTATATTTTAGAGATAATTTATATAGATACTGTAGAGTGTAGATTAGGCACTCAATACGTCAATACACAGTACAACCAGGTAAACCATTTTTGTTGCTTGTGAATACAACGCTAAATTACTTTTAAGACAAAAGAGTGTAAAAGATACAACTACATCGTTCATCCCTTGGCATACAGAGCCTCAATTCATACAATCCCAGACAACAGCGTGGATGCAATGCAATGGTGCATTATTAATATGCCCGAGGAAGAACATTTTGGGAAAGATCAACCGTGGGGCGAAAAATGTCACGGCTTGGAAATATTCAATGATTTTACGTAAGTATTTTTGGTGCAGAAATCTTTTTTCGGCTGGTAGTGTATTAGGCAAATATATTATACATTATTGTGCATCCTGCACACGAAATAATCGATCTATCCACAATAGAATTTAATAAGTGACTAATTAGGCAAGATTATACCCTCTCCTTTTTTCACTAACATGTTTGAAGTACCCAAATCTGGAGCCAAGTAATCAGATTTTAGCAGGATTTTTTACCCTCATGAGAGAAGTACTGCATGTGACAAGGTTAGCGTGCTCTTTAATCGACTAAGCATAAAGAATTTTCCCCGCAAATGATAATTAATACTCGATCTCACTATCACTCTAGGTACGCTCACTCCTATCAAAAGATTGAGGAGGATGGGCCAAACAATGGTGAACTCAGTGAAGATGAAAAAGGAAATAAGTATTATTACTGGTTTGACACGTACCCTTTGGAGTTTGCAGTGTTTCTTCTTGATTCTGCTCTTGCTCGAGGCGTATATTTCCATACAATGGCTGCCAATGACGCGTTCTACGAAAGATCTCCTGTGGACAACGTGCCAACTGATGAACCAGGTAAGCGTCGTTTCAGGTCTGATGCTCGCATTAACTAATAGTTCTAAAATCTTGCGAAGCAGTGAATAGTTAACTCTCTCAAGGTCTTTCAGTTAGTTTTACTGTGCTGACATGCCCCAACAGTAGGGCCGTAGCTAGATCGCCTAATTGGGAGGGGGGTGTATTAGACTTAGTGTAAACCTAAGTCAAGTAGTAAAACGTAAAAAGCTGCATGAAGCTTTATTCTAGACGGCAGAAAGACTAAATTGATCAGAGAATCAGATCCGAAAGACAATCTACACAAACACAACATGAAGTACGCACCGCCATCAAAAGATCCTAGGCTGGACGGGCAAAAAGCAGTTTCTACAGAAATTACAATGACAGGTATTCTTGAATTGAATAAATTCAGAAGAATATGATACTGAATACAACATTGCAACAGTGTAATTCTGAAATAGTTTATTTTGCGCTCAAGTTATTGATTTGGCTCCCAAGAACACTTTAATTAAAAGTCTTACTTTACAAGACCCCATGCAAATACGAATTTCATGATATCAAAGAATAGCCGCCTTTTCTCCCAACAATTCCTGCTTAGGTCTGGAATGTCATTATTCAGTAAACCATTTCTTCTTGATCTTGTCAAGTGAATTAAATGCACCACCAATTTACAAAGGCAGAAGTTTCAATGACCGCTATATATTTGTATACATATTTTTTAACCCATATGACTTTATAGACGGCGGGCCATCAAAGTACTTCGATCGTGCACACACTGTAAAGACAGATCTGTCTGGTGAGTGTAGTCTTAGGTGATGCCTGATGTCTTCAGCCAAACAGCTTACAGATCGATTGCAGTAGAGTCGGTATTAAGTAGATTGAGAATGCGCCATGGGAGCAGTTCTGTTAAGCCTGGTTTTCATTACTCCCAGACAGTCGGCGATGCTCTGCGATGCATTGTCGATGACGATGACTAATAATGTAGAAAATTCTTTCAGTCTACGGACAAAGCATTTTATGCATCGGTAGCAAACAAACGACAATAGGGATCGCCGTCTGTCCACGAGTGATGAAAACCAGGCTTTAACGTCTCTATAGCAGTCCCAAGCTAATATATTGATGACCACGCAATTACCACTTCTCTAGCGCAAGTTTGCATTGTATAAGCAAATGCGTGGCAATCCAGCAGCTCCCAAGGGGATCCCCCGTAGTTTCTCGTCACTGTGCAGCGCTTGGTGTCCACATTTTGTATGTTTATTCACTTCATGTGTCTTTTTGAACTAAGATTTTGTAAACCAACTACCCTACAAAGATAAATTTGTATTTGGCTTTGTGACACTATTCGATCCAACTGAAGAAATAAAGAATAAAGTTTTTAAAGAACAGCAGGGAATCCAACGCATGCTGGATAAGGGATTGGATGATGCAGAAAATCTTGTGTTAGATTATCTGAATAAAGGAAGATATTACGCTACCACAGGTACACACGCACAAACTAAGATCAACTTAAGGTCCGTAGTGGAAAATCTGAGCCAAAGGGCTTGAAGTAAGGCAAATTAGGCAGATATATTTCCGGCAGTACTGACCGGATATAATTGACAAACTCATTCATATAACTCATACCAATCTTACCTATCATATATGAAACTGTTCTCAATATCTTATTAAGAACAGTTTCATAAAATAGACCGGCATGCAAACATAAAGTTTCAATTAAATTAAACGTGAAGTAATTTAGCTTGTAGGCACACCACGTAAGTATTTAATACTGCAAAGCTTTCGGTCCGTTAACCCTTACTTGGTGTGCCTACAAGCTAAATTACTTATCGACTGTCACCATGCAAACATACAAGAATATTATGAAATTAAACGTTGTTCTCGAATTTCAGGAATTTGGGAAAAATTTGAATACAAGAACATTAACCACCCGGCGGTGTTGCCTCTCATAATTCGCAATCAGCCAGACCCAAACGAGCTCTGTTATGATCTAACGTTTGACATGGAACTGGTATTCACTTTCCCTCCATGTCGAAAGAAGAACATTGACATAGTTTGGAGGTAATAAACATGAGTTCAACACGAGTTTTGAATTGACAAAGCAAACGTTTATAGCTAAATTACATTCTTTTGACATGACCGCAATGTATGACAGCGAAGGACAATAGACCTTTTCGGTAATTACGTCACAAGATTTTAACGTCACAGCGTTTTAAATTTTGAACCACCTTAAATGAAATGGATTTCAAGTTTTACTCTCACGAGCCACGTGCAAAGATGCAAAACATCCTTCTTCAACACATGCATGAAAAAGATTTTTTATTTTGACTGATAAATGTGGAAATAAGCCATAACACGAGAACGAGGCTCAGAGGTCAAGACCGAGCCTCGTTCACGCGTTGTGTCGTATTTCCATACTTATTTGTGAAAATGAAAAATTCTTTTTTATGCATGTGTTGAAGAAGGATGTTTTGCATCTTTGCACAAGGTGGTTCTAAATTTAAAGCGATAATGTTGTGACGTAATTACCGAAAAGGCCCATTAGGGCTGCTTTTCACTGCGTGTTTACCGTGCATGCGCGTAAAAGTAAAGTATATATCCTTTTATATGTTATCTTTGATAAAACTAAGTGGATCAGTAGATTTAGTGAGTTAATTTTCCGCATATTTTCAGCTAACCAGCGTTTGGAAGTTTATAGGCGATGCTATATATTTAATAAAATGTTATCGCATTATCGATAAAAGTATATTCTCCTGCATAAAGGTATACTATTATGGTCGAGTGTGTACGATCAGAACAAAGCGTGATCGTGAAGGAGCTTGTCACAACCCATGGTTATTTTAAGTTGGATGAAAAGTACTCAACCAATGTTGATCTAAGTTGTCATTACGATAAATCTCATGTGAAGTGGTTGTACTTTTCGGCGATAACACCAAAGAATCCACAACGTAGAGCCTGGATGCATGCCATCAGGGGACCAGCATTTGGTGATCCACATTTGTATGGTAAGTATATTTATTCTGATAACATGTTATATATATTTTATTATGAAATATTAAGGCGGATATTTTTTGACATAATTGATACGATTCTCGCCGACAGTATAGCCAGAATGTAACGACTTATGTTTTTTGCAGCCAGACTACCTTCCATGAAACATTACATTGTACCAACGATTAGGGATGAGAATCACACGGTCACTGAAGGAGAACCCATCACCCCAACAGCTGTTAACCCGAAAGGCGACTTAGATTTTTTTCTGGGAAAGGCAACAAATGAGAACGACATATATGCATACTTTATGCAAGTTTGCCCTCTCCAACAAGATCTTACTACAATGCCAGTGAGCGTAAACATTGACAAATCTTCTGACCTCATCCCACCCCGTATTTTGCAAAGCGTCCATGGATTTTTCCAGTTGAGAAATGACTATCCCACACGACTGAATATGACGGCCTCTTGGGACAAAGAAACGGTAATCAACTATTGTATAGCAAGTTTTTATGAACTTTGACCAAAAATTATGAATAAATATTTTATTATATATATGAAAATATGAAATGTATAGTTTAATAATTACGGATAAGAATTCATGAAGTCATGCCAAGTATTTGGTCATTCGTTACATTGTGGTATAAATTCAACGATATATACAGGGTGTATTTAATCAAACCTTCCCTCTATATAGAATGCGTAGTTATTACACAACTCACAAATTGTTAGAAAATAAATGGCTTTGAATTTGAAAAGTTCAGTTTTTTATATTCGTATACTGCCCGACGGATTTCTTTTGCTCGGGTTATCAGGTTAAGCCTTTCATCTGATGCGCTTTTTACCTAGCCTATAGCCGGGGATAAGTAACTTATAAAAGGCTCTAAAGCCGGTTTTCCACTAGCGTTAATTTTTGCGCGAAGCGACATTTACTTTGGTTTCATGCATGCGTCAGTGCACCGTGTCCTACCTGGACATCTATATAGTGACAGCTGCTGATTACCCTATCGAATTTTTCACTTATTTTTCTAGTTAAAAGGCGATGTAAACTTTTACATTATTGATGGAAAAACTGGTCAACCAAAGCCGATGGACAAAAAGCCCGAAATAGCCAAGAAGAGAAAGATATTGAGAAAGAGAAGATTAAGAGACCACAAGTATACTGATTCTTATTTGACTTAATTTTTCCAAAATCTCCGAAACTACGTTGTGGTTGTGACGTAATAACATAACATTTGTTCCTGTGCAATGTTACTCGGGCAAAGCCCTCGGGAAATATTCCGCCGAACCCCCCTCACTCCATCAGGGGGCTAGTTCTTCAAATCTAGGTTAGCGGTAACCCTTCATGGGTTAGATTTTCATCCAGTGTTTTAGTTTATGTTGTTCTGGTTTCTGAACTACTGTGTTTTAAAACTTATGACTTCTATCGGACCAGAAAATATGACTTCTATCGGACCAGAATATTGTGGGTCTTGGCGATCGTCATGTTCAAAACATATTGAATGATTGTAATACCGCAGAAATAATTCATATTGACTTAGGTTTTTCAAGAGTAAAACTGTTTTTAACTGTTTTTAACTGTTTTGGGCTTGGATAAGAGTTTGTAAGACCGTGGAGTTACAAAGACCCTGGGTACGAGGTTGAGTCGCCTCAGGCTCGGAAATCACCGCTCGCCTTTGGCGACCAATTGTTAAGGAATGTGAGATGTCCTTTCGAGCATCGACATTCGACAATCAAAACGTGCCAATACTAAACCTTATTGTGCAAGTCAGCAAGTGTAATAATTGATTCTGTCCCTGTGCAATGTTACTGTCAATTCTCGACAAGTCATTCGTTATATGGCTAACACAACCATGAGCAATAAATTGTTGTCGATATGAAGATCCAAGTCCCCAATCCATAAGACGGTGAGATAAGACATTTGGGACAAATATTTGCAGTGACTCGAAAAATAATTAGCAGGAATCCAATAAAGTTGGTGCCTAGAGCCGGGTTCAGAGGAAACATTTTACTATAGCATAATTCATATATAAATATTAATTAAGATTTAAGGACGCGTTGAAAAAGGCTTTATTCTCTATTTTTATATGTACTTAGGATTATAATTAGCTTATAAGTATATGTTGATGATTATGATGACGTTTTTAACAAATTGGCAGTCAGGTCTGCACCAGCAAATGCAGAGTTGTTCAAATTCAAGTTGATCAAGCAAAGATAAATAAGTACAATCGTCAACCTTTCGCCTTCGGTCAATCGTTACCTAAAAAAAGGCACACGAGAGCAGGTAAGATTGAATTTTGGCGTACTATTTAAACCAGGGAATTGACCTTCGACTTCGTGACAATACAGCTGTATTAGCATGAATTCGCTGAGCCTGAGGTTGAAACTAACACTTAAATCCGAAATAAAATACATTGCATGGCACAACGATATGCCGAGCATTCGAGCAAAGTCAGATATTAAAAGTGAATTCTTAAAAGTGATGACTGATGTATTAAGTTCCGTGCAACTAATGAAATCTGTTTTAAGCAGTTCACTGGTTTTAAGTGCTTTTATTTGATGATGTCGCATTACTGGCATGCCATATGGCCCTCTTTCGTTAGAAGAGAATATTGACAAATCTACAATACAACACACTGCATATTGCACCCGGCTCCGAAAAGTTTACACTATAACTTACTAACAATACTGAGGGTATAAAAGCATGACTGAAAATCTGCCAATCATGATTCATGACAATGCTATGAAATAGTCACTTCTTTTAGTTTGTGCATCATAAAAGCGCGTGTTTTGTTTCTTACATTTCTCTAAATCCTCTCACTCTTCTGACGAAGGACTCACAAAGGCTGTTTTCCAATAAATTTACCAGTGACAATGTCGTCAAAATTCTTTGCCTGTTCAAAATATTTTCCGCATCGACCGCGGACAATTGATCGTAGAGCATCAAACAACAAATTACGATAATGAAAACTAGATTTTTGAGGAAATTTTATTGTTGGTTATATAACCTAGCCAGTTGGTTCTTATGACTTAGTATTATACTGATGAGTGATGGAAGGACAGGAAGGTCTAGAGTCTAGGCAACTGAGAGACCTCGCGAGGATGTTCGCTCAGCTAGTTACTCTCGTGTGCGGATAGTTTTCGTCGGAGGAAATCACCTCGAGAGGCAAGTTTCTCACGTGTGCGGATGGTTATCGGGCTAAGCTGCCTCGCGAGGTCGTTAGCTCAGCTGATATAACTCTCGTGAGCGACGGGCTAACCGGGCTTAAGGATAAAGATATCTTTCTGTAAGTGTTCATGCACGCAAACATGTTTGGTTGCCTGTAGCTACGATTGCATTTCCCCTCGGATCAACCTCATTATAAAAAGGCAAATTTCGCCAAAAGGCTTTCGTCACAAAAACTAACTCGCCGAAAAAATTAAGGCTGTGTTTATATGCGGAGGCGAGCTAGCCCGGGTACCCGGAATGTAATATTAATGGCCGCTGAAAATTCTTCTTAGACAATTACTGAGCTCCATTTCACCGGAAGTGACGCTTGCCGTATAAGTATACACCCGACTATTGTCTATTACAAATCCTACATTCTGATTGGCTACTCAACCGTTGTCTATTCGTGATGGTGAACGTTTGGGAAAAATTCGCTCGCGCGACCGTATAAAATTGAATTAATTAAATTATTTTTCGGTGTAATTGCGGTGTATCGATTATTTCCTCGAAGTTAATATATCTAGGTACAGGGTGTATACTAAAACAATTAGACAACTCGCCTTCGTTGTCTATGAGCGAATAGTCAACTCACGCTTCGCCTTCGTTGTCTACACACAAAAATACACACAAAAATATAGGGAGATTTAAATTGTTTGTTAAATAGAAACGACTCGTTGTCTAATTGTTAAATAGAAACAAACTTCTCGACCAATCAGCACGCGCGTACTATAAATGTTATAGTATTATAAAGCCTGTTTTTAAAAGATACGATGATTGATGATAACATCACCAGTCAAGGAACAGTTCGCCACTAAAAGTTGAAAGTGTAGAAATCGGACTTAACACCACTTAATACTAAAAAAGATCAATTACAGTTCAGCTTGTTTTCCCGACAATTCAGTTAAAATAGTTGCCCTGTACAATCTTCGTTATAGAAGAATGGACGCTATAAGTGATGAAACTCAGTGTCCGTTTTCAAAAACACCAATTCAGAAAGCTTATGGGCCAGAAGTGTCAATGTTCCTGCATTGTCATTTGCGTGGGTATGATCGTTATGGAGAAGGAAAAGCCGCAGATAATGGTAAGTACGATTTTTATTGGCGCGTACTATTTTATCCACGAGTTGTGGAATATCCTAAAACGAAAGAGCGAGGTACGAGCGAGTGAGTTTTAGCATAATTTATTCCTTAATGAGTGAATAAAAATTTGTTTATTACTCCAGCGTCAGCGACGGAGTTGAAAATTCGCCTCGGTTTTGTTTTTGTTTTTATTTTTATGTTTATTATTTTTATTATTTTTCGTCGTCGCAAGTCTGTAATGGCGCGAAATATACTAGTATTTGAAATGTGTATGTAATTGGATTTATCTATGTCCAGTCTTGTTTTATACTTAGAATATAGAGATTTCGTACTTGAAAAAAAAATTGACTTGAAAGCCACTTTAGTGCATGCATGTGGCAGCACCATTTTTTTCGGCCATAATTTTTTGGCTTGTTGGCAGAAAATAAGTCAGTTTTTTGTCCCCAGTGAAATTTAATTTTTTTTTCACGGTGAAGAAAAATCGTTCGCGTTTCCTATTTGTATTTTAAAACACTTTATATTTACTGCGAACGAAGGAAACATGTTTTGTGAAATGTGGACCCGAGAGCTGTCGATATTTCACGAGGCGAAGCCGAGTGAAATATCGATGGTCGAGGGCCCACAAAACATAAAGTTTTCTGAGTTCTCAGTAAATAAGTTTTTTATTATATACATAAGTTTTTTATTATATACCACTTGTCAAAGAAAAATCAAACTACAAGGTAAACAACAAAATATCTATTCATAAAAGACATAATGCCTTCATGCTTAGACGTTATTTGAGTACATTTCCCGACTTCCGAAAGAGCGTCGATTCACGCACTACACTCTAAAATACAATGCATACACTCACAATTTCCTATTTCGCAAACAGCGCTATTCTATCCCAGACCTAAAGCGTACATAGGTTTGTCATATTTTACTGAAAATGAAGATAGTCACCGTAATTGAAGACATTCAACGTTTAGATTACTACGATAAATATGGTGCTCCAATGGAGCAGGAAAACTCTTGGGAAGAGGGCTATCATGTGGTCGAGAAAAAAATAGCAGGTGTAAACGATCTTATAATGGGGCTCAAAGATTTGGATTTCCCCCTCTTTGCTGGAGTAGGTGGAGGAGTTCACATTTACAAACCGATTCACAATGAAAAGCCATGGAACTGGACTGGCTGGGTACCAAGAAAGAGACGTTGGTGTAATCAAGGAAAATTCTTCAGCAACCGGTAGGCTTCAAAATATCACCGGGTAATGATTTTCACTTAAGAGTTAAGTTGTTTCACGAACTAAAATCGACGACAAACCCCAAAGGTTGTAGCGTGTACGTGTCAAGGAAAGAATTACCTCTAGCTTCTCTCTCGAGAGAGAGCACTGAGCAGAGCTTTTTTGAACGGACAAGTTAAAGCTGGAACAATTGCAGATGAAAATATCATAATGAGACATTAAAAGTTTAGGCACATTTCACACACACCCTTGGCCTTGGTAATCTATTTCAATTCCCTCTTACAGGGACTTCTCAATAATTTTTATTCCACTTTGTTCTGGGCTTTATGCAAAACCTGATAGGAGGTCTCTGTTAGTTGGTGTAGAGTGTTATATACATCAATATGTAAGGTAGATTTTCAGTTAACTGAGATAAATCTGATCCATGGGATTTTCTTCATCATGATTTTTAACATTGTTATAATCAATTTACGTTCTGTACTATCTGCAAAGGTATTACCTAACTCTCCGTGGCAATGAAATTCAGAACAATCTCTGGGATTACCACCCTCATGAGGAAGAGGAAGGTGCAGCCATCACTGATACAGTGTTTGAGCAGTTGGAGCCAAACGATAGATACAGAGGGGGATATTGGTTTCATCGACAGCCATTTGGTCGTTATCTGCATATCATATGCCTGAAGTCACACGAGGTGGACCCCAAGGTACGGAATAGTCAAATAAGTCACTCTAAAATTAACGTGCTTGGCGGTTGCAGGATAAGTGACAATTCAACAACAACACCAAATCACATCTTGCAAACAACAGATGCTTCTTAAGTCATAAGGTTGACGTTCTACTTGCCTAAATTCCCTGATATGGTTATTGCATTACTGCGCATGCGTATTGTCCTATGGTGGGGCATTAGACGAGAAGCCGGAAAATCAATATGTCCATCCAAGTGCTAAGAGTTATAGCTGTTAGATAGACCCCCATTTCTTTTCAAAATCATCGATGACTTATTAAATAACAAACAACAGAATATCACTGTCTTGATACCCCAGTGAAGCTTTGTTTGACACGACAAGATTATCGAACTAGAACCGTTGGAGGAGTCTAGTGACTAGTATGACTAACTCATTATAATGCATTGTTTCTTCCTTTCTGCTTTCTGTATATCACAGACTAACCTTTGTCCGAGATACAACTACGTCGTTCATCCCTTGGCATACAGAGCCTCAATTCATACAATCCCAGACAACAGCGTGGATGCAATGCAATGGTGCATTATTAATATGCCCGAAGAAGGGCATTTTGGAAAAAATCAGCCGTGGGGAGAAAAATGTCACGGTTTAGAAATATTCAATGATTTTACGTAAGTCTTCTCTATTGTATGTTTTCTCTGATCTGTAATCAAAACATATTCACGATTGGTCAAAAGTATATACGCACCAAATATGATCGTATTGGGGTTTTCAACAGTATGTTTTATGGTCCAAAACTCAATAACATTAAACTTCAATGATTTCAACTACAGGTACTATTACTCCTACCAACCAATCGAGGATGGTGGAGTGCAAAACAGTGAACTCGGTTACGACAACGAACGCTCGATCGATGATGACCACCAGTATTACTACTGGTTCGACACCTACCCAATGGAGTTTGCAGTGTTTCTTCTAGATTCGGCCCTGGCCAGGGGAGTGTATCTACATACAATGGCCGCCAATGATGCCTTTTACAAAACTCGAGATGAGGAAAAGGAAGAGGATCAGGACGAGGGTTAGTACAACCGTTAGTACATTGGCACCGCCACTGGCACTTTTTGAGGGGCTAATTATAGGAAAGTAAGGGGTTTTGCTTTAGTAAAACTTAAACATTGTTTGCCGTCCCACTTTTCACTAAATTTGAACTAATCTGAAAACCGTTAGCTACTGGAAATAATTGAGAATAATTGGACGCTATTATCGCAAGTAAAATATTTTGTTACAGTAGTGTTATGTGTTAATCAAATCTTTTCTATTTTGCACCATTTTTAAAGGGAAAGACTTGAGGGAGGAACATTTCAAGAAAGGAGATCCTAAGGCGGGACTTCTAAACCATCCTCCACACAAATTGAACGAGCGAAAGGGGGTGAAAGGAACAATTTCTTTTACACAAACGAATACAGGTACTCGGCGCGGAATGTGTTTGCCAGAAATATCGATGGTTTTGATGACTTTTTTAACTCATAACAAATGTCGATACGTGACGGTCACTGCATGTCCATGCGGTGACAAGAATTAGGCACGTAATTGCCGGTTTTGGAAAATTTTTCGACCGTTCTCATGTAACATCCAACATATCGTAGACAGGAGCGTAGCCAGCCTGACGATTATGTCCAGCTATTTAAAATATTATTTTCAAGTTTACTTTAGTGTTACCATTGAACAAACATTTGCCTATAAAAACATGGAGGAAACATACGTGCCTCAAGTGCCTATTATGTGAAAAAGATTATTTATCAATTATTATTATTACAGAAACCGCAACAGAGGAAATTACTGAAGAAGAGAAAGCCATAAGGAAATTTTGGAAAACATCACCGTACAAACATAAAACTGTGTTTGGTTATGTTACACTGATCGACCCAGCTCGTCACATAAAGGAGACAGTTTTTTCAAAACATGAAGGAATCCCACTTATGAGACTCGATGAAGGGGAAAAGGTGGTGTTGGATTATCTCATTAAAGGACGATATTTCTCTGCTACAGGTACGAGTTAGCATTTTGCAATGCAACATGCAGCACAGATTTTCGAAGATATTTTTACGTTCTTATTTCAGGAATTAGTAATTTATTCAATTATGATAACCCATCACTTGATCAGAAGTTGCCTTACAAGATTAAAAATCAACCAAACCCCAAAGAACTCTGTCATGATATAACTGGAGACATGGATCTGTTCTTTACCTTCCTGCCGTGTACAGCGAAGAACGCTGACCTGATTTGGAGGTAAGGCAGAAAATTTATAGCATGTATATACTTGAGTATTCAAACGTACGTATAAGAATGGTTCAAAACCTACACTCTCGTATATAGGTATACTATCATGGTTGAGACTTTAAACCACAAACTGGAAAAAACACATGGCTACTTTAAGTTGGATGAGAAAGGCCCAACCAACCTGGACTTGAGGTCGTATGTGAAATATCAAGTAAAGTGGCTGTATTTCACTGCTATCAAAGCCAAGAACCCACAACACAGGGCGTGGCTACATGCCATCAGAGGACCAGCATTTGGACCACCTGTTTTTCATGGTGAGATAAGAGAGTTCCGTAAAAAATACCGATTTTTCCTTCCATTACTGGAATTTGGAGCTGTTGTTTTTTTCAAATTCTCCAAAAATATGATTTTATCTGTTCAAATGCGTCCAGCTTGATTTGAATACAAAAATGTGCTAATAGTTGGGATAACGGAGACAGACGACCCAGGCATATGATAAATCAGTTTTATCGAGACGTCTCACGACGTAATGCTGACTACAGCTGACAACGGGGTTAATGGATTCATCTGTTGATTGTTTTCATGAAAGATTCTTCCTTTGGTCAATGTGTGATGGGCCTCGTTGTGTGTGGGACCTATTTTCCCAATCGCAACCCATTCTGGTAGCTAAAACTTGAATCAATACCCGGCTCATCGTGCTTTATTACGTCATGCAGATATACCAAAGAAAGTTTTGAGACCTTTTCAAGACTGTATGTGTTTTTTTTATTGTGCTTTCAGCCACCCTTCCTCCACTAAAGCACCGTGTTGAAGAAACAGAACGGAAACATAATACAGTTCTCCCCAAAAATGTCATCGTCCCAACAGCTGTCGATCCCAAAGGCCACTTGGATTTCGCTCTTGGAACGACCAGTAATGAGAATGACATTTGTGTCTACTTCATGCAAGTTTATCCCCTTCAACAAGACTTCACAAGCGATAATCCAGACATTGAAGAATCCTCCGATCTCATCCCGCCCAGAATATTGCAAAGTGTCCATGGTTATTTCAATTTGAGGAATGACCATCCAACACGGCTGAATCTGAGCGCTTCTTGGGACCAAGACGCAATGGTAATTTATCGCATTAAATTTCAATTAAAATTTTCTACCAGTTTTCGGTTTGAGGTCATGGAATAATAGGTGTAGTTTGGAAAAAATGTAAGGACTCCACCTTTGGGGCCCGAAATACGAACGCGTGGTGTAGTCTAACTATCTATATTGAGATTGATAAAGGAACATCAAACGAAAGACATGATAGATGACAAACAGGGCCCCAGGCCGCATGTTCGAAATATATTCAAGGACCATATCCCTCGTTACGCTGATATATAGTCAGTATAGCTAATAGCTGGATTGCGTAACAGTGTTAATTTAACGCACAACTTTGCCAGTGCATGCATAACAATCCTTTATATAGACAGCACCATGACTACTACTCATGTTATTTAATGCAACTTATTTGTGAGTATGATGACTGGTAAGATTATCAACGAAAATGCCAACAAAAATATAGTCAGAAAATGTACGGAACGTATGTTGCATGACAAGGGAAAGAATTAGCTAATTCAATGAAAATTATGCAGCGCCCCTGATAGCACTTATATCATTGACTGATATATCTATATTCTATATTCAGAAACCAGGTGAAGACATGGTGCACTTTTACATGGTTGATGCTGAAGATGGTCAGCCGAAGCAAATGCCCCCAAATATGGTCGAACCATTTGGAGATTACGAACAAAATGTCTCAACAACATAACCATGCAGCAGTATATGCACTAAAAAATTGAATAATACTGTGTTCTCTGCCTAGAGTACACTTGTTCTGCATGTACACATTTCCAAGGTTTTTTAGTGAAAAAATATAGATTAATGTCTCAAAAATGTGTTAATATTTCTTGCGTTTATATGTTGAATAAAAGAAAAAAGCTACTTATATTCTTTTCGCACGATAGACAGAAGTTTGATCAGTCATCGCTTGTTTATTTTGTCAGCCAATCACATTTTATAGCCAATAACTTTATATAACACCTTATTGAAACTTATTGATATAATGTCTTTTAATTGGTTGTTTTTGACCACGTGGCATTAAATAGAAATTTCCGTGCAATAGTTTTTTCCATTGCATGGTTGCTTCCACTAGCTTCAATCACTCACAGTATTAATCGTACGGTGCTCGCAGGGCATTGGGTCACGAATCCGAATAATATGGCCGATGGGATCATTTATAAACACAAATTATTCACTTAATATATAATTCAATGACATTAGCCTACATCTATTTTGTGAATGTTTTCATTGTGCAATGGAAAGAATGTTTTCATTCCGTGAAAGATGGAATTTTCCATTCAACTTGGCATTCCATCTTTCACCTCATGAAAATATTTTTACCATTGCACTCATAAACTTTCATTATTAGTATACTCTTTAATCCTATAGATCATGTACGCATGATATCTGCAAAATTTTTACTTTGACAATTTTCCAAAGCAAAAACAAACTATTTGCCTGTTTACTTTCGGATTGTTTTCGAAGGCGAGTGGTCAATTTTTGTTCTTATCACAAATGACGTCATACCATTTATCTATAACTGGACAATTAACGTTATCCATTTGTTAAATAGACTTTAAAATTGAAACTGACTTTATCACATTAGCAAATTTTTACACTTGTATCAAAAGCTGGATATGACATCGTTTCGTGAGATTTTTGAATCTATGCAAGCTGATGTGATGGAACATTCAATCTTTCATCATGCAGTTATGAAAATATCCTTAGCATTGTACTCAAACATTCATTACATAGTATAAATATGATTATAATATAGCTACTCTGATTTTCAGCAGATGTTCCTTTTGGAGTTTTCCCTTAACTTCACTGAACATGCAATAATAGTTCCAAAACCACCTATACAACAGTTTGAGATGACACATCTCATATAAATATCGTTTAAAATTTACTACGTGATTTTAAAGCTTCCGTGATATTAATTAAGGCGTATTTAAAAGGCTCTTTTAATTCTCTGCATGTAAATTGTAATCTTTGACTGCAATCATAGAAAATTGCACATAGCAATTGTCTATACATCATGCAAATGAAAACCCGCTTTAAACATTAGTTAGATAAGATATCCAAATATTTTAGCACAATTCAAAAAAGCAACGTTTATCTTTATTAAGGCATGCGTGAGATGCTATTACTAAGTTATTTTGTTATTTAGTTACTAATAACCCAATAGAATCCAGCTCATGACGCATGCATGCCTTAACGATGACGATAAACGTTGCGATTTAGCTATAAAATATTTGTATATAGCTACTTATCAACTAATGTTGCCTTTCAGTTACAAAAAGCACGACAACTGATTGCAATGGCGTGCATGGACATATGACAAAGCAAAAACCTCACATGCATGCAGCTCTACTAGAGGTGAATGACGATACAATACTCTTGGATGGCTTAACTCATTTATAAAGGAAGATGGAGAAAGCTGGATTGAAAGCAAGTTGCTCAACAACATTCAAAAACTTCAAGACACCAGTAGAAAAAGCATATGGCACAGAAGTATCCCTTTTTTTACATTGTCACTTGCGTGGGTATGATCGCCATGGAGAGGGGATTGTCCCAGACAACGGTATATATATATGAGCACTGTAGCGCCATTTTGGCCTATACTTGTAGTAATTATGATGGGTCAGATATTTTGTCACCTTGCATATTATGAATTAAACCAATTACTGCATGTGAATAATTTACGACTCTTAAATTTAAGGGCGTTTTCTCCCCTTTATACGGTGAAAACGGTCAGACCGGTCCTGTTGTGTTAAAAACGTGGGTAAACAGCCTATATTTGCAACGCCTCACAGGCACATGTCTTTTTTTTAGGATACTACGATAAATACGGCGCTCCAACGAGCAAGGACAACTCATGGGAAGAAGGTTACCATGTGCTTGAGAAAAAACTAGCTGGCATAAACGATAGCGTGATGGCGATTGAAGAGCTGGACTTCCCCGTTTTTGCTGGTGGTGGCGGAGGGGTGCATCTGTATAAAAAATGGCATGATCATGAGCCGTGGAATTGGACTGGATGGGTTCCCCTGCAGAAACAATGGTTTTGCCAGGGAAGGTTTTTCAGCAACAGGTTTGTTTTGTTATGTCATTTAAGTCATGTTAAATTAACCTAACTTGTTTACAAACTCTCAAATTTAACTTAACTTGGATTTGTTTTTGTATGTGTAAATGTGTTTCTTTGAGCCTGTTTACATGGAGCGAGTCAGCGAGTTATCCCGGCTAAGCGAGGTAAAAAGCGCATCACATCAAAGGCTTAGTCTTTCATTATATGCAGTTTTCATCTCGTTTAATCGGGATAACTCGCTCCATATATAAACAGGCCCTTATAGCCTCGGATATAAAGCACATATCACAGTAAAGTTGAGGATATTTTGGGCATATATGAACAGATCAACTAGTCAGACATAGGTAAAAGAACTGACAAAATTTTAAAAGATCCTTAAAACTAACTATAAGCTAACCATACAGATGCCAGAAAGGAATAACAATGTAAGGGTGGTGTAGAGGCAAATGATCAATCACATTTAACATGATTCTCAAATATTTCTTCTGCTTAGAAGGTTGCTCAAAATTATCTTTTGCAACATCTAGAACAAATAGAGGCTTAATGAATCCATACGTTCGGCCACAAAATCAGGTGTTTGCAGATGCGCGATGCCTCGTTGTGTTATCGGGCAGCTGTTCTGTTTTATCCAGTTGCGTCGTAAGCATCGATAAGTGGGGTGGACATATTCATATATTCATGTTCACAGACTGTAAAAACAATTAATTTGAAAAGAAATGAATAATGTAAAACACGAATATATGAATATGTCCACTCCACTTATCAAACTGGCCACGCCACTGGCTTTATCCAATGCTGATTGCTGTAACCTCTCTAAGACTGTGTGCTCTTCTTGAAGGTATTTCCTGGCTCTTCGTGGTAATGAAATACAGAATAATTTGTGGGATTATGACCCATATGATGACGTAGAAAAAGAAGATGAAGGTGTCGACGAAATGGTGTACAGTCAGGTGCAACCAAATGACAGATACAAAGGAGGTTATTGGTTTCATGGTCAACCTTTTGGTCGCTATCTGCATATCATCGCATTAAAGTCACATGTAAGTTTTATTTCCTACAGTTGAGACAATATGAGTATTTTTAACAGATCATGTACACTCAAGACAAACTGTCTCCTCCTTCTCACTATCTCAAATTATAGCACACAGTACAGTACAACAATCTAAACCAGTTTTTGTTTCTTAATACCACGCTGAATCGACTTTCAGACTGAGAAATTTAAGAGATACAACTACATCGTTCATCCCTTGGCATACAGAGCCTCAATTCACTCAATCCCAGACAACAGCGTTGATGCAATGCAATGGTGCATTATTAATATGCCCGAGGAAGAACATTTTGGAAAAGATCAACCGTGGGGAGAAAAATGTCACGGTTTGGAAATATTCAATGATTTTACGTAAGTATTTTTTGGGTGCAGATTAATCGTCTCTATGAACAGTAAGGACTGAGCCAAAACTATATGGGATAACGGGGGAGTGCATATTCATAGATTCGTTTTGCCCGACGAATTTTATTTGTAAACTAAGGCCTCTTTTCCACTCATCGTAAAATCAACTCGCAAGATCGCTGCAAGTTCTTGCATCTAATTAAAATAGACTGACAAGCATTGTGATTGGACAAAACTAATCGCAGCGAGCTTGCGAGTAAGTTTTTGCGATGAGTGGGTGAGGGCCTTAAGGGCTGTTTTCTACTGTCGCGTTTTTGGTACGTTTATGTATACGTGCGTAAAAGTTTAAAATAATTGAAATAATACTTATAAATTCAATGATTGAACAGATGCACAGGGTTGGATTCTGTTGACGATTTGCTGTGTTTTCTCTGGCATAAAATTAATTATTTGAGGGCCACTAGTTCATCAGAAACTTAAATGTTACTGTCAAGTGTTTACCCTAATAAACTCGCTTACTTACTTACTTACTATTATGAAACAATTTAGAAGGTTTTAAGCTTTTATGTGCGTGTACGTACGTGCAAAAAACGCGACAGTGGAAAGCAGCCCTAATGCCTGCTGATTATGCACCCCCTTAATCATCGAATCTTAATAAAAATTTGATAGGTGATTAATAATGCTGAGATGATAAGATATTACGCAAGAGTACCCTTTAAAGACGTTGACATGTTTTAGACCAAAACCTAGGAACTACGTAACCAGATTTCAACAAGATTTTTTCACATTTACGGGGGGGGGGGATACTGAGACGTGGTCGGCGGGTTTTTTTATCGACTCATTATATAAATCCATCCCGCAAATACTAATAAATTCTCTCACCATTATTCCAGGTACGCTCACTCCTATCAAGAGATTGGGGAGGATGGGCCGAACAATGGTGAACTCAGTGAAGATAAAAAAGGCAACAAGTATTATTACTGGTTTGACACGTACCCTTTGGAGTTTGCAGTGTTTCTTCTTGATTCTGCTCTTGCTCGAGGCGTATATTTCCATACAATGGCTGCAAATGACGCTTTCTACGAAAGATCTCCTGCAGAAAACATTATCGATGAGCCAGGTAGGCATCGTTGCAAGGTGTGAAGCCTGGATTCAGAAAAAAAGTAATCGTTGAAATGTTTAGGCAAAATGTTGTGAAACCAACGAACTCAGGTAAATAACTCCCTTAGGGTCTTTCATTTAGTGCAACTGTGCTGGCACCAGTACAAAGCTAGTGAATGTCTAAATATAGCTATTGATAAAGACGTCGTTTTTGAATACCTATAATGCTTTATTCCAGACGGAAGAAAGACTAAACTAATCAGAGAATCAGATCCA